CCCTAAACCTCAAACCCTAAACCCCCGCATTTCTTGCCATCAACTCCACACCTCGCTTTTCACCAACCTGCCAGTCGCCGAACCCTGAAACCTAAGTCATAGTTTAGGGTTTAGGGGTTTAGGGGTTTGGGGTTTAGGGGTTTAGGGTTTAGGGGTTTGGGGTTTGGGGTTTAGGGGTTTAGGGTTTAGGGTTTAGGGCTGCTCGGTGTAATTAGTTTATAATACAAACGGCATAATATTGGTAATCATTTAGGCTTCTACAGTAGGGGTTTAGGGTTGGAGCGCGAAGCTGTACCATATAGCAACTCGACGTGGGTTTGCGAGGATATTCTAGTATAGCTGTAAAGGGACGATTGTGAGATTTAGAGTATAGTTACTGGGTTCTGGAGTACCATACTTGAATGCTTTTTTGGGGACCTGTTCCTTAAAGGTGCCACGAGACATGAAAGCCTATACTTTGTTCCCTGCTTACTTCACGTTTGGGGGGGTAGCAAGGGACTGAAAGAATTTGTATTTAGCCTCCTCATTACGTCGGGTTCCATGTTAGTTCAAGACGGTTCAGGGTTTGCGACTTAAGGGGGGCACACTCACCTTGGGACCTTGCGCCACTGAACCCACACGAGACTAAAAAGATCATGGAACTTAGTCAGTCGTATGGTAGAAAAGTGCTCTGGTTAGGGCTATGCTTGGTGTTAAATTTAAATGTAGATACCTCAACTATACTTCAAGATACAAGCGGTTTCGAGTTTAGGGGTTGTATGGTTTTCAAGCTAAGGACGAGCGAGTGCCGCCCGAGGAGCCACTCGCCCTGACGCGTTCGATGTTTCTGAACCCTAAACCCTAAAGCCCAAAGCCTGCTCAAGGGCTGTACAAGCAGATGCAAAAGGGCACGGTTCGGCAAGGGGACTGACTGTACTTAAAGGATCATGGGACTTAGTAAGTAGGGTTATAATTAGGGTAACTATACTTATAACCCCAATTAAGGGACTTATAACCTTACTTACTAAGTCCCATGATCCTCCAAGTAGTAGAGGGCTCCGAACCATCAGTAGTAGTGCATACGCAAAACCCCTACGCAACCCTCAAACCCTAAACGCTATGCAAACCTGAACACCTAAACCCTGAACCCT